GAATTTTTTCTGCCAAATAATGGACAGCTTTTCCTTGGGTTCTTATATTTATTGGACGTTGTGCATGGTCTTCCTTTGAAATTAAGAGGACGTATTTTCAATTAGACAGTTGCTCTATACATTATTTTAAAGGTGTAAGGGACTGGCTTAATACAAATTACCGGATGGGTAGGCAGAGGTGGGCTTGAAGCATGGCCACTGCGTTGTCAAGATCTCACACTTCTCGATTTCTTTGTTTGAGGTTTCATCAAAAACGTTTATGCTACGCCAGTGGACACTCGTGAAAATTAATACATTGAATTCGAAATATTTCCTGGACAATAATTCCAGATCAATTTGCTAATGTAGGGCAGTCGTAGAAACCATTTATGCATTGAACAAAACGACCACGAATTTGAACATGTACTTTAAGAAAATGTTTTTTTATTTGTGTTGGCAATTATTATTCTTCACACTCTTGCAATCCAGTATCAAGTTGTTTGTTATTCCCTTAATGCAGTTTTCGAAAACGTGGAGAATTTCTTCTAAAGCCAGTACACTTTGTCTTTGTCACCAGAAACGAAAAGTCTATACTTAAAATATGACGCAATAAATTCTAAAAATTAACAGTGCCAGATAAGAAAAAATGTCAAGCGATAACTATTCTAAATTAAATGGTTCATAAATATGCTATTTTTTTAAATTTTATCCATTACTTATTATTATTCTCTTTTACGAAAAAATCATAAGAGACCAAAAAGTTTCTCAATAAAACATAAAATTCAATTTTGATTTTAGAATGTACCAGCGGCACGCCGCACAAAAGTTCAGGGGAAGAAAAGGAGGGATGACCCCCGAAAAAATATCACTCTGTAGAATATAACTACCATTTGGCATGTCCAATGACGTAAGCCCTACAGCGTAACCTATATTCCAAATTTGAGCTAAATATTTCAAAAATATCTCTATCCTATAAACATAACTGTCCATGTTGAACAGTAAATAAGTAGTAAGTGAAACAATTTAATTATTATGAATCTTTCGTTTTTTTCGCAACCAAAGCATCAATACCTTTAAATGTATTTTATAGTTCCTATACATACATACCTAGGAACAGTTTAGATGTGAAGTTGACATGTTATGATTGATCGGGAATTCTGACTAACTCGTTGACGAATGAGTATATACTTACAATATGTATTTGTAAGGGTTGTATTTGTTATATCTAATCGATCACAATTAGTTAAGAAACATCAAAATACTGTATCAACTCCAAAAGTAGTAGAAAGCACTTGGCACACTACAAATACCGGTAAACATGAAACAAACTCATCCCATATCAGTATTTTTATAATTAAAATTTTAAAAAGTATATAGTAAATTATTTATTATATAAAATTGGACACATAAAGATAAGCTTAATGTAGGTGGAATATATTTTGTCCTTAATTTTTACGACTCACTCGACGTAGGTTGAAAGCCTGCATTACCGGAGGAGGAGGCCATTTTCAACAACTGTTGTGATTTTGTTGTTTATTTGCTTAGTTTTGAAATATTTTTTTAACATATTCCCACTTTCTTTCATGTTTCCCATCATAAAACGCCATTTATCTAGAAAACAATTCGCATTAGAGCTTTTGATGATGGCTCCTTTTTTGTGTAGAAAACGTTGTCGGTTTAAAATATGCTTTCAAAATGACAATTTTCTCAGAGTCGTAAAATTTAGGTTCAAAAGAACCTCACGCAATCCTAAAATCTCTGCCACTGTCATATAAATAAAAATTAAATTAGCGCTCAAAAGAAGCTAATATTAATGATAATATATGTACAAAATTTGAGTTCCGTATCTCAAACGGTTCCTGAGATATCGTCAAGACCGAAACCGAAAAAAATATATATTTTTTTTTTGACTCCCTATATTTCGAAAACGGTACATCAGCGGACCATGTTCATAACAACTTATTTTTTATTAGAATGGGCCAAAGAATCACACCCTTCATTTTCCAATATATGTATTGAAACACCCTGTATACATTATTTCCTAAGATTCCTACATCAAAAGAGATATTTCTTCAATTCAAAAATTGTGATGTGTTAAATTTTAGAAAAGAAAAAGAAAGGTGCCTATGTAACAGACATCGGAAAAAACAATATGTTTTTTGAAATTAAGTACACTGCAGTAATTTCTGGAGAGCATAGGTCAGAAAGACCCATCAAATAATTTTTTATGTTGCCATGGTACCTACCTATATCTAACAGAGTATTTATATGAAAAAAATGGTACGCCACTGATTTTTGTCAGGTTTTATTAATAAAACCTTAAGGCTGCATTAAAAGACGGATAAATCTATAGCTGCTCCTAACTGTATTTTAAGAGTCAAAATTTTATTTTTTGTTTTAATGAAACAGTGAGGATTTACCTTTAAAACTTAAAAAACAGGGGCTCATTATTTTTAGCTCAGTAAATACGCTATTCGTATCATTATCAGCTGCGCCCATGATGATATAAAAAATATTTATTACGTAGGTGTCATTAGTTGCTCCCATGATTATATAAAAAATTTTTGATAGATCAAACATGAAGATTTCTAGGAATTATACCAAATTTCAATAAATCAATTCTTCTAATTCCTATTATACAGGGTGTTAAAAAAAGAGTATAAAATATTTAAGGAGGTAATAGTATGAACCAAAATAAGCAGAAAAGTCTCAATGAACATGGGTCCGCAAAGCAACGGTTGCGGAGATATGGAATATTTTATGTTTTTTAGCCCCGTTTTTTATTTTGCTAAAACGTTGTGATTTTCTTATAATAGTTGGTTGATGTTTAGTGAAATAAACAGTACGTATTTGACAGTTGTTCTCAGTGCACAAGTTTTCTTTCGCTATGGCTGGTTACTCTAACGCAGAATTAACAGACATGCATTTCATGTATGGTCGTGCTAATGGGAACGCCACCGAAGCGCGACGTCTTTATGTTGACGCTTATCCAAATCGCCAGATTCCTTCACAACGCATGTTTGGAAGAATTCACCAAAGATTGCGTGATACCGGTTCCTTGAGCAAACAGTGCCATTTATCCGGAAGACCAAGGTCGGTATCCACTCCTAGAGCAGAAGAAGAAATTCTAGCACTGGTAGAGCAGAATCCAGGTACGAGTGTGCGGAGAATATCAGCCGAGGTAGGAATTAGTGGTCCTCTTGTTTGGAGAATCCTTCACGAGCAACTGCTTTATCCATACCATGTGCAACGAGTACAGGCCTTAAATCCAATAAATGATCATCAAGCACGTTTGGTTTTTTGCCGCTGGTTTCTACGTCATGATGCTGAAGACCCTCGTTTTCTTGCAAACATTCTTTTTACTGATGAGGCCGGGTTCACAAGAAATGGAGTGTTTAATTTTCACAATACGCATATTTGGGCCGACGAAAATCCTCATGCTCTAATAGAATCTGGACATCAGGCACGTTTTTCATTAAACATTTGGATGGGTATTGTAGGTGACAGGTTTCTAGGTCCTGTTGTTTTACCAAACCGATTAACAGGCGCTGCTTACCTCAACTTTCTGCAGAACACACTGTATGAGTTTTTGGAAGACATTCCTTTGAATCAGAGGCAACAAATGTGGTTCCAGCATGATGGTGCTCCAGCTCATTTTTCCATGGCCGTTAGAGAGCATTTACACCAAACTTTTCCACATAGATGGGTAGGAAGGGCCGGACCTGTTTTATGGCCTCCAAGATCGCCTGATCTGAACCCTCTAGATTTCTTTGTTTGGGGATATTTGAAGACATTAGTGTATGGTACTCCTGTAAATAGCCTGGAAGAGCTGCAGCTACGGATTAATCAAAAGTGTCAAGAAATCCAAACCAAGGAGGGTGTTTTCGAAAGAGTTCGAATATCGTTGAGACGAAGATGTCGTGCCTGCTTGGAAATGGACGGAGGGCACTTTGAACATCTTCTGTAACTTTGTTTTTTGTTTGTTAAAAGCTTCCTTTGTCGGTTTATTCCTAATAAAATAAAATGTTTGAAAAACGAATAGTGGTCCATATCTCCGCAACCGTTACTTTGCGGACCCGTGTTTATTCAGACTTTTCTGCTTATTTTGGTTCATACTATTACCTCCTGAAATATTTTACACTCTTTTTTTAACACCTGTATAGGCAGGTAATTTTTTTATTTAACACCCTGTAATTTTTCCTTTAGAATTAATTGAAGAATCACCCCTTTTTCTGTCAACATAAATACCACACTGGGTCTTTGATAATAATTTTAATATTTGCTTAATTTTGGTTCAACCACTACATTATTTTAAATCGTGCTTCATAGGTCTCTGATTACTTTAAAATATGTCTCATTTGAAATTCTACAACCCTTTTATGTCAAATTTTATGTCAAATTACATAATACTATATACAATATTTTCTTCCCTTGGTGCTACAGTGTAACTATACCAATAATTCGAATGTGCAATTAAATCAAAAATTCTTATTTGCCTTTCGCTTATTGGGGATCAATATTGAAAGCGTTAATACCTGGCCATAATAATATGAGATCGCTGAAATATATCGTTTGAAAAGGATTAGTATCAATGGGAATTAAATAAAATTGTAATTGCTCTAAAGATAACCCAGCACTTACCTGGGACACAAATCCAGTTGTTAAGAGGATTTAGTTGTAATTCAACCACAAATGGGGCGCATTAAAAAGACAACCGTGAAAAAATGGTAACGTTTACAAATATCCTATAAATCCCCTCGGCGGTAAGGCTACCCTTCAAACCGCCCTACAACAATGGCTTTGACGTTAGGTCGAAAGTCCTGCGAAATATCTATTTCATTCATTGAATACAAAATAAAAGAGGGTTGTTATTGTTACAGTAGTTATCCCCACTTAACTTTAGGACTGCCCATTTTCAATCCGAAGGGTATATACCCTTGTTGATTTTAAACTTGTTTAGTTATCAAGCAGGCTTAAGTGGTTAGGTGACGTTTTTTTGCACAATGCACTTTAATAATACCATGTACTCCCACGATCTGAAGCCCATTGAGAATAAGTGCAGCCGAATTTTCAGACCTTGGGACAGCATTAATTGTTCTCAAGATATATCGCAGGACAGTACAGTTTCTACAACTACTAGCGACGATGAAAAACAAAATATTAAGGTCATTCCCGAGAAAAAATCTAATGAAAAGACAACTGAAATGAAAACAGGATTCAGACCGATAAAGAAGCTAGAGAAACTGCCACCTGACACCAAAAATCGAGGTACTGTTCTACCTCCACATCCTGTGGACTATTCGTTGGAGGCGTACAGCATTTATCCAGATATGATCCAAGCAAATATAGCGCAATCTCTAGGGCTTACCCCGAACGATCCTCTTTTTATGGAATCAATGGTGCAAGGAATCGCGCTGGAAGAATACGCGAGGGTCTTAAATCAAGAACATCAAGCAAAAATTTTGGCGTCGAGGAAACAGAGGCCGAAGAAGTACAAGTGTCCTCATTGTGATGTTGGATTTTCTAATAACGGACAATTGAAGGGACATATTAGGATACATACTGGTAAGTCCAGTAATTAATATTAGCAGTGTGGTGCTGATCTCTGCAGAGAGTCGTTTTCATTTTATTCTATCTAACGAATTCTACTGATACGCGAGATAATTTACGTCTCTGAGTAATAATGCGTTACCAATTTCTATATAGGGTGTATTTAGATGAGTGAGCATAAATGCTAACTTGAGGTCAAAATATGATAATTGGACCAAATGTACCATAGCCAAAATTATTTTATTCGCAAGTTAGAGGGTGTTTACATTTTTGAAATGCAATACACATATGTCAGTATCTGGAAAGATGTTTCACCTACGTTCCTAAAACTTGTCATGTCAACAATGAAGAGATAACAATTCACTGAATTTTATACAGTCGTATTAACCAGTGAATCTCAGATTTCAGCGCCACTGAGTATTTTGAAAAATATAAGAGTTCATTTTTATTTATTATATATTTCAAAGAATGAAGTAATCGAGCTACAATTTTGTACTTGGTCTAAAATAAATGTACTACATCCTTGAATAAATAGAAAATGTAATAATATAATACAAATTGTTTGTATTGCGTATACAGATTTTTTTGTTGCAGATACAATTTTAAATACAATAAGTATAATCTTTAAGAATACATTATTCGCGTAGAATTTTTCTGAGGGATACCTAAGTGCAATAATTTTGTATGTCACTGAATTATCCATAATTTAAAATTATAATTTTTATACTTATGTCTTTTTGTGAAATAAACATATTAAAATTACTTTCGACTTCTTGAATTATATGATAAGTATATCTTAGGCTAAAAAAATAATAACTTGAAAATGGATCATCTTAAAGATGCAAAGTTTTTTTTGGATTATAATTGTGTGCCAAATGAACTTGGATGCTTAGCGAGAGTATCTCCTATATCCCCGTCACTGGTTGGCATAATTGTATACCAATTAAGTAATTTTAACCTTTAATTGTTTATATATATGCCACCAGCCCAATTTACATTCTTCTGAGATATTTTGATATTTGTAATGTTTTTCAAAATTTAAACACGGTAACTTGCAAATGAAGCAACCTTGAATTAAGGTATATTTAGTTGCATTGTCATATCTTAGGTTCAATCTAAGTCTAAGTAGTTTTTAGTATACATACACGCTAATAAAACTGAACAAATTTTGCTACATAGTTATTTCTTTATCCATAAATAATAATTTTATTGTTGACTTTTAAATAACTCTCCGAAGTTTGTACTCATAAACTAATATGACTATAGTATAAAACAACCACTCAACAAATCGATAATCCTAAACATACATTGACGTCTATTACGATATTCAGCAGAGGTCATTACAAAAAACATTTTGGAAGCATCGTCTGAAAAATTTTGTTGTGTTATTTAATAACGTAAAACAACATTAATGAATATTTTACCACACTGAAAACAATTAAAATGTTTTCACCAACTCCTAGAATGATGGTAGATAGTATTTTATCTTTTAAATTTCAAACTTGCATGTTCACCACATTGTTGGTCAAAATGACTGATTCTGATTCTAATAGATTTTTTAATTAATATACTTACTATATACTTCAATTCCTATAATTTGTTTTTGTACAGAGTTCTATGGCATTATACGCTGTAAAAAAAATGGACTCATTTTCACTAAATAATGTATCAATTTTTGTCCACACCCGATTGAGTGAAATTTTCCTCTAGTAGTATTACGAGTAGTACAACTAAAATTTTATGAGTGAAACTATCAATTCTAGTTCAAATATTACAAAAAAATATGTAAAATTATCAAAATGCCCAATATTGATTGAAAATGTACTCAATAATTTCACTCAATTACCCTTTTGCTTTCACTCAAACCGATTTCTTTACAGTGTACCATAGTAAAGAGATAGCTAATGTAACTCGCGTTGATAAGTTTATTTTAATAGGGTTACTTTGATGAATTTACCTAAATTATATTACATTGAAACAAGGTTTTCAAAAATAAAAATTAAAAATTTTGTAATAATTATAATCGACCACGCCGTTCTTTGTTCATGTTAATATCTAGTAGTTTCACTCTGTACAATTAGCTAATGCATTGTCTGAATGCGCGTCCGGTTGCAATTTTAGGTCTTGAAATAGATTGTGCAAAAATTTACCATTTGTAAATTATTCTTTTGACCATAGATGATGGCATGTTCTTTTACGAAATTTTATTTTCTTTGATTGTACTTCTTTCATTATAAAGGCGCACGCCATTGCTAAGGGTCCTACATTCATAACTCTATTGACTTTAAGGACAAAACTAAGGATTAATATCTGCGTGTGTTATCAAATCCAGCGTATATTATTGCTTGCGGATATTATGTTGTCATATACGTTCATGTGCACCCAGCCTAAGCTTTGATGCAGTTGGGATGTTTACATATAAGAAATTCTGCATAAAATGTTATAAAAACAAAAAATATTTATAAAATAATGTCAATACATAAATATTATAATAGAATCCATAAGTGAAAAATTGGGGCAAGTCTAAAATAATCAATTTCGGAAAGGAAAGAAGGCAAGACAACGTCTATAAAGTTCTAGTAGTTTATCTGCAAACACCCTACAACCAATTATATTAATTAATTAATTACCTTGGACTTACATCCCTTTTTCCCATTTAATGAATCATCAGTCTAAGAAAGCGACATATTATTCGCACATTTTTACTCATAAATATGAAATACTATGTATATTCTTATAAAGTAAAAGATTTAGATTTCTTCAACGGCAGCTATAATAGTTTCCCAGGAAGTGATATGATCCTAACCACATTTTTTGAAATCCTCAATTTCCTTTTCATTAATAGGACTGGTTCTGAATATGGCAACTTAGAGAATGTAAAACTTACGGAAACTTTAAGAGGTTTACATCATTTTCACTGCTAAAATCTCAAAATGACCACAAAACTTACCAACTTACCAAGTGACAACTGTAATCCGTTTAGTTGAGAATGGACAGCAATGTAGTTGAGGAGATCGTTGCAATAATACATATTTACGTGTCCAGAGTAGAAAGTGTATACTTTGCAGGTTTCAGAGCTACGTCGAAGGCTAAACATTGAAAAGCATGAGAGTCGTGTAAAAACATTATCCGTGTGTGACGCATATAATATTTTTTGTGCTACCGCTAATAATTTGACAATAACAGAACTACAACATAATAATTTATAGTCATAATTTTATATCAAAAGTGCAATTATTAAATGTTGATGTTCGGCTCATAACGTTTGTGTTAATAATATTGCGTTCTATTCTGGAAACTTCAGATCGGTTTTGTTTATTTTCTACATTAACAATTTTATTTTCTGTGTTTATTCTGAATAGAATTTCCGATATGACCTTCTGCCTCGGTAGAAAACTTCCATCCCTCGTGACGCTTCAATCTTGCTAAATTTCCACATCCATTTATCGGTAATGTGATTGAAGTCCTGCGATGACTGTGACCGGTAAATTCTGTTGGATAAAATAATTTTATATATTTAGCTACCCTGCAAGAAACACTTCCTATAGAATGCATTCCAATAGGTCGAGTAATAAATTTACGGAATATTTTTTATACTTAATTCTAAGCAAATTATTTTTGTATTAGGAATTTTTAGTATTAGCATATCATTCTTATCTTCCTCATCGTCTACGGTATTTTCTTGCTAATTCATCATGGTGAGAACCACCAGAGCCAGAATTAAATTGTCAAAATTGCGACCACTAAAAATGATCGAAATAGCAAGATATTCATGAGCTATGCTCAAATTTTGTTTACTTCTTGTCTACTAAAAACTTTTTACTTCTTTGCTTTATATCTCATAGTTTTTGTCTTTGAAAAGGTATCAATTTTGAAAATTTTCTAATATGAATATTCTTGTTGGGTATTAAACATTCTTTCAAGCATTAAATATAAATTAAATAAATATTCATATTCTTGATGACTTAACATTAGTGTATTTTTTTCAACAAAATAGGCTCACAGAACATCTTCATTTAATATCATTACTATTTCCTTTTCGCTCCATTCTTCGATTTATATGTTTTTTCAAACCTTTTCCTGGAATTTATTGGTAATAATTCAGAAGCCGCTTTTTTAATATAGAATACTTTCTTCGTCAATTTCATCGCTATTCATCTTTAAACGGCTTAAGAAAAAATATAAGCCTAAAAACGTTAAAAACTTCTGCTGATAGATAATTGTTAAATATAGCTACTTTGTAAGAGCTCCTAAGTTACTTTACTGAGATCTTATGTCACTTTACCACGCTTTCACCTACTTTCCGATCAATGTCAGTAACAAAGCACTTTGCGAGCTAAATTGTAATCGAAACCAGACATTTTCTGGAGTCAAAATAACTGATTCTGATTCTAATAGATTTTTCAATTAATATACTTACTTCAATTCCTATAATTTGTTTTTGTACAGAGTTCTATGGCATTATACGCTGTAAAAAAATTGGACTCATTTTCACTAAATAATGTAAGTATCAATTTTTGTCCACACCCGATTGAGTGAAATTTTCCTCTATTAGTATTACGAGTAGTACAACTAAAATTTTATGAGTGAAACTATCAATTCTAGTTCAAATATTACAAATGTAAAATTATCAAAATGCCCAATATTGATTGAAAATGTACTCAATCATTTCACTCAATTACCCTTTTGCTTTCACTCAAACCGATTTCTTTACAGTGTACCATAGTAAAGAGATAGCTAATGTAACTCGCGTTGATAAGTTTATTTTAATAGGGTTACTTTGATGAATTTACCTAAATTATATTACATTGAAACAAGGTTTTCAAAAATAAAAATTAAAAGTTTTGTAATAATTATAATCGACCACGCCGTTCTTTGTTCATGTTAATATCTAGTAGTTTCACTCTGTACAATTAGCTAATGCATTGTCTGAATGCGCGTCCGGTTGCAATTTTAGGTCTTGAAATAGATTGTGCAAAAATTTACCATTTGTAAATTATTCTTTTGACCATAGA